GGCTTGTTCGGAAATTCGGTAGCTATAAGTTCTCGCTCTTCCCCTTACCTGCCACCTGGGCAGGGCCACGTAATCTCGTCTACTCACCTCAATCTGTCTACCTATTCTTACTGTAAAGGAAATTTAGTTCGTTTTTCTTCTACCTCATTTTGTCCAACCACCAGATATTACAACAGGTTAGTTGCCTTGCAGACGTGAAGGACAAACGGTGATTTGTAATGCTGTTAACGATGTCAAGCGTTTGATCAGCTGATCGGACCGCATCGTCAACTTCCGCATTTCGCGCTGCACACCAAATGCTGATAATGCGTACCCCTCGACTCCATTTCCAAACGAAGGCCAAATTTTCATTCGTCGGCCGATACCTGTGTCTATCCATTTAGTAATTCAATCTCATAAATGGTACAACAATGTGGAAATGTGGTATTCAGAACGCTTCCTTATGTCCACGTATGATTTAGACCAGCGGCTGTGAGGGTGGGGCTCTGATAAGCATTACCGCTGCTACACGCACGGTTCAGGGTCGAACCTCATCGAGAACAACTAGTGGCTCACTTCCAGTGCTGATAAAGTATCAGAGGGCCGGGATGCATAATTTTCTTATTAGGCATCTGTACCCAGGCCGTTTTCTTCAGAGCTTATCCTGAACGAAACGTGAATTTAAAAACTTGTTGGGCGCAACTGAAAAGCGTGGGCAGATACCCAAATGGGTTCACCAATCACCATTTTGATCTGATTTTTTATTTATAAATTCTATACAGGATAGTCTTTGAGCGTCGATCAATCCCGTATGAAGGTTGCGCTCCCGTATCCCACTAGCGGGTCACTATGGGGGCTACTGTATAACACTTTCACGGTAGGTTGAATTCCCTTTTAATCCACTACACTACTTCCGCACTTATATTTACCCATATACACCCGAGTTCACTATAAACTGTGACAGATAGGATTGGTTCCAGAGAACCTTCACAAAAATCAAGAAAAAGGGGAGTTAGAAAGGGGTTCACTTGGGGATATGTGTAGCTTACTTTCAAAAATGATATGCTCTCCTTGTATTAAACCTGTAGAGAGCCTACATGTACAATGGTCTGAAGAGATGGCAAAGTGCAGAAAAAGTGTATTGCCTTGTACGGAAATACGGTGGTTATAGGTAAAAAAATGGGAACCGTTGATAAGTTAAATCAGAAAGACTCTATTACTAAATGATCGTAACAATCTCGATATGGAGTGCGGAAGCGTACAGCCGAATTGATTCGTACTTACATTGACGTAGCAATCCCATAAAGTAATTTCGTTTATAAAATGTTCTTTGATGGTGTAATCTCGAAATAGCAGTGGCAAAACGTCAACGAAAAAAAGTGATGATAACGAATACGCTGCGGAAGAGAGCCTTTGACAGCTGAACAAAAGTGAGCAAAGAAATCAGAAGTTGTATAGAAGAGGGTTTGGCAATGCAGGGTGCGGTAGGACAGTTGCGGGTTTCCTGTTAGAAGAGACTCTCGTCCACGATTTTGGAACTCTCAGAAAACTCCATGTTTACATTGGTATTGAACCGTATTGGTCGGACTTTTCGGTACAACCAAGCTGGATGAGGTCCGACTTTGGGAACATTATTGGCAGGTTCTATTGACTGTAAAGTTTGAAGAATTGAAAAGCCCGGTTAAAGTTATAGGCACACAGTAGCTGGAATAGTACAGTAGCCCCAGCTCAGACAGATACACCCCATTATCGTCGCCTTCAACCGGAAAGACCTAATGACCACAAATAGAGTAATAAAGTTTAATGAATCACAAAAAGGCAGAATCGATTACCCTTATCGACGACGCAGTTTCGATTGAATCGACACGAATAGGCGTGCCGTTTCCGAATGGTCCGGCGGAAGAAGCCTGTAATAAGGTAGCTCTTACCAGTTCACCCCAGGAAGCCACGGAGTTAGGCCGAGCTACTCAGAGGAACTCATTTGATTCACTCACCTTTACAACCATCACAGCTGACCGCACCATAATGCTTACCAGTAGCTTTGTCACCACAAATTGCACAAAGACTCTCGGATGAAAGGCCATTCAAACTGGAGCCCTCCACCTGTCGAGTGAGTTCAGCATTTAGGTTCATCGGCACCTGCAGTTGAAGTAAAAAATGTGAAAACTGTAGGTTAGTTCTAAAAATATCGTAACCACGAGTGAAAGTGAACGTTTAACGTCGTCAACGGAACCTCAAATCAAGGACATCATCAGGAAAGTGGTAGAGTGCCAGTGGGGCGACCTTCGTTCGGTCCAGTTAAGCGCTGAATTCTTTCTTGTCTCTACGTCGATAACATTATCAATGCATTGATTACCTCCTGTGCTTGTGATGCCGGTTTTCACGTTTTCTGTCGCTCACCCATCCTGTGGCTGATCACCAGGTCAGAGCGAATCAGTTTGGGCACATCTGCAAACTAGTGTAAATCATAGTTATGGTTATTTCTCAGGATGACAACCAACTCAAAGAATCACATTTTCATTTCCTCTGCCTGAGACGCTTCCAGAGACTTCTTTTTTGAATCCGCATTTTTCCCGAACGACCTTCTTCAGCTACTCCTCTGCCGGCACTTTTTCTTTTGAAAAAGGGCTTTTCTTTGAAAAGAAATGAGATTTTCCAAAGAAAAATATGTTTTGGCCGAGGGTGAGCTAATAGGACCCCGTTTTTCGATGTCGCTTGATGTATCGAGTTCCTATTCAACCCTGGATAGATATCAATAATAGATGCTTCATAACAAATAGAATAGAATTGCTAATTGCTGCTTAGAAAGTTAAGTCGTCAACAAGAAGTAATTTTATTGTCTGGAAACAAAGACGGACAAGCAAATGGCTAGCTAATTTATAAAAAAAAACTCTTTCAATACAAGCTCCAAAAAATCTCTTCAGCTGTTCATTCATTCGAAACGGAATTGTTCAAGCTTCTAAAGTAGGCTTTATTTTTCTTAATATGAGATACAGCAATGACCTCAGAGACAGGAAAGAAAAGGAGGCATGGAGTGTCACGTAGGTAAATTTTTACCGAGACCCGTTCTTCCGGGTGGAATGCAAAAACAGTAAAAAGGGTATTTCTCAAGGTGTTATTCATAATGACTTTACAACGATTCTAAATTTAGCCCAATTTCGCCACTTTGACCTTCAGAAGAACAGTAACAAAAAAGGACTCCTGCGATGGCAGGGTACGTGGAGTTGAGAAAGAAGAAAAAAGGCTATTGTCCTAAATTAACAGCTGAACCTAGCCTGAATCATTACTTTTTTACATGAAAGCAGACCTTCTTTGGCTAGGTACCACTAAGCTAAAAATGTGCAAGTTAAGAGACTTTTAAGGCCGAACCTGTTAGACGAATACGGATTTCTTCAGTGGCGAAGTCCTTTTTTCGCTCTGCTGGCCCCAACACGCAACTTGTGTGAGCTAGGGAAAAGAACAGGGGAATATTATGCAGATGATGTCACAAATAATGTTGGGCTGAACTGTTCAGACGAGGTCTACTCTACAACATGGTGTTGGAATAGGTTATCAAAGCTACGAAATGGTAAGCCGAGATACCATGAACTCAAAGGCACAGTTCACGATAATTTTTAGGTACCTCTTTTTGATCGAAGAACGGAAGGATAAGCTGGGAATAGTTCGTCGATATTGAAGAAAGCGAGAAATTTCTCTAATTTCGAGAAAATAAAGCTCCTCAAAAGTGAGGAGAACAAAGGTTGGACGAGATCACCATGACGGAAATAGAATGAAAGGGGAATTTGGACGAGATTTCAGTTGTTGCAGTTGCACAAACAGCTGTCTACATCAAGCAAAAACTGCACAGAACTACCTATCGCTGTCCCTACTGTTTATAACAAGTTCATTAAACTGCCTACATACGTTGGCTTCCCTGCAATTGGTGCACCCTCTACAATGCCAGTGAAACTCGTCCGGGGATTTACACGACACAATCTTTGAGCCGTTATAACAACCTGATAGCGCCCTGATAGCCCTAAGAATGGTGTACTAGGGGACCTCGAATTCAACCTATGGGGGAAATTCAGAAACCATTTTTATCGTGAACTTTCACGACCAAAATGTTTTCCGTGCTTTATCCCTGTGGGTGAACCTGTGACCCTCAAGTATAGCATAAGGGGCGCTGTCGAATCGAGAAATAGCTTTTTCATCCTTCATAAGGTCCTTCCTTCCTTAGTACAAGTGCGTTTGCGATTCTCCCGTTGACGAGCAAATCGCCGAGCAGCTTCACTTCTATGGGTAGCCCTCACGCAGGATGTCGGGGAGCGACAGTTTGAGACACGGCGAAGAAAGTCTCGTCCCTGGCTATTTGACCACTCTCAATGGATGGGTTGAGTTCATCTAGCTCGGAACTCCCGCTCTTTTAGAATCTTTTTGACGTGAGCTCGCCTTTTCTGTGCCGTTAAAGATCCCTTGGCGGCTGCACCGTACATTGGCTGCTTTCATAGTCCGCAGGCAGGCGCGCGCGCAGGCAGGCGCGNCCGCAGGCAGGCGCGCTGGCGCGCTGGCGCGCGCGCAGGCAGGCGCGCAGGCAGTGCTAGGGGGGAGGAGGGAGGCAGAGTGTAAGGCAAACAGTCCACGCCCCTTCGAAGGTTGTTTGTTTTCAACCCCTCGAAGGGGCGTGGACTGTTTGCCTTACACTGTCTGCCTCCCTCCTCCCCCCTAGCACTGCCTGCGCACCAGCGCGCCTGCCTGCGGACTATGAAAGCAGCCATTGTGTTCCATTCTGCTAGGCAACGTTGTTTCCAATTGCACTACCTCCAAGACATCCTTCACAACATCGATCACATCTTGCTTCATAACTCATTTCGGAGATTCGGCCATTTTTCCTTCCAATTTTCTGTGACTGTTTTCCACAGCTCACCAACTTGTATCCTTTCACCAAACTCCTTAATCTACTAACCTACTCTAATTCACGCTCTTTAATCTACTCGTACTCTTAAAGGCACACTTCACGTAGATGTGGTCGCTGAGGTTGGTCCCTTGGATGAATCTGTGGCCTCCCAAGGATGCCCTGGGGGAAACCATCGGGCCGAAAAACGGCCAAAGTAAGGCGTAATAAGAACCCTAAAACCGGCTCAACTCACGTACACTCCTGAGGCGGAGAGCTTTGAGTGTTATAAATTTTTCGAAGTTGCACCATTCGCCCAGGGACCTACACCTTGCACGCGGGCGGGCATCTATTACAGTCAGCTGTATACAGTGGCGTGCGCCTTGAACAGCTCGTCCAATATCCCCTTCCATGCAACTTCTATCGTCACTTTGTCGTCCAACCCCTAATTTTACTTTTTTAAGCCTTATATTTCTCTGAATATCCTATTTTCTCGTTTTCTTCGCCACTTTTGCTCTATTCAGAACAACACTTCCACTTCGCATAAACTAGACAACCCAAAAATAATGTGAGCTCTGCTTCTGAAATGTCTGTTTCAGTGATGGTAAGATGATTCTTCATTGAGAGCACAACACCATTCTTTTCTCCATCTAGGCCTTTCCATTATGGACGAGATACATAATAATAAGCAATAAAGGCTTCATAAGTTCTAAACGCCATCACAATTTTTGAAGTAAGGTCGATTGCGTGGTCCCCCTCAGAAAGTATTTACACTAGCTAGAGGAATTCAAGACCTGAAACTTCTTCAGAGCTCTCAACCTTTCCTAATCCTACTTTATATAATTCGCTAAGTGTGTCTGTTGGTGTGTCGGTGTGTCGGTGTGTTGGTGTATCGGTGTATCGGTGTATCGGTGTATCGGTGTATCGGTG